TCGTTACTATCGCCATCCAAAAAAAAAAAAAAAAAAAACCACAAAAAAAAAAAAAAAAAAAAAAAAAAAGGAAGAAGGAATCCATCACAAATTTTGCTCATCTCTTCAAATGACGACCAAAGCCGAGGGATCAAGCCACAACCCCAGACCAAAACTGCCTCCTAGTAAGCTAGCAAAAGAGAAGGGAGGATGAGAAACGGAGAAAAGGAAGAGGAGAAGGGGACTAGAATGCAAATTTGGTACCATATAGTGTGTATCAGAAAGAGAGTTTCTACATATCTGTTAACAAAGCTAACTCGTCACTGATCATGCCCCAACAATCGAAATTCGCTCCAAAAAGACCCGGGTCTATTCTGAAAAAAAAAAAAAAAACTCTTAGGCAATACTCGGATTATACTCCCGTGCTCACCTCTTGCGAATTCAGAAAAAACGCCTCAGGCCACTCATAACTGGACTCTCCCATCGACATCCCACATCAAGGGCTCTTCACAATTACTTATTTTTCGCTTATACTTGACCATGATTTAAAGATGGTATCTCATAACACTCACAAAACAAAGATAAAAAGCCCGTAAGGTGGTAGTTTCAAAAAAAAAAAAAAAATGGTGGGGAGGGAGAAGGTGGGGGAGGGCCGGGAGACCACAATACTGGACGTGGACTCGGGGCATAAGCACCAAACGCCATTCAAAAAAATAAGGAAAAGAAAATGGAAGAAAGTTGAAAAAAGGGGAGGAAGAAGAAGGAAGAAGGGCCCGGGGAGAAAGAAGAGGGACGGGGGAGTAGAAAGGAAGAAGAGGCGGGGTAAGGGCAAAGCCAGGAGACGGTTACAACTTTCTCGGATTAAGCTCGAAAGGTCGCAAAGGAGAAGGGAAAAAGGAAAGGAAGGAAAGGGGGCGGATATATCTAAAGGAGAAGGGAAGAAGGAAAGGAAGGAAAGGAGGGAGAAGGGGTCTCACTTGGTACCCCAAATCTAGCATCATTCCGTCTAGTGGCAAGAAAAATCTCACTTTCGTGGCCCACCACGACCAAGGCAGCCATAGCCATTTCGGACAAAATTGAAATGAGGAAAAACTCCTCCAGGATCCTTGGTTGAGTATGCTCTCAAGTGTCCAACCTTGCCTTATCCCTTCTCGAAACCCCCCAACAAGAAAGTTGTGACTACTCTCAACCCTCCCCAAACCCACTTCCTTTTACCAAGCTTTCGGTCTATTTTTAAAGGTCCGAGGAGTCAAACTTTCCTTTGTCTTCATACTAAGGAAGATGGTTCCCTTCAAATCAGCACCCAAGAGGGCATAACAGATGCGAAGTTCTTTGGAAAGCTCTACGAAGGAAGTTCCCTGATAAGTGGCTCTTCATGAGTCTTCAAGATTAATGACTACAAATTTTCCCCAGCGTCGAGTCTTAGTATAAGTAGGCTGAGTTAGGCGAGCCTCTACATCTACATCTATATCCCTGAGTCCCAACCCTTTGCCTCCTCTTTACCAACTCTCCCATAAGTAAGTCATAATACATAAATCACATAATGACTTTACATATCGCCACCCTTTCTGCGTACACATCTTCTGACGGACAGCATCCTGCAGACGTGCCATCTTCTCCTTGGTTATTGGTGGTGCCTGTTCCTCGAAGACTCCTTGACTAAGGGCATAATTCTGATAAGCACCCTAAATAGTTTTGCTTTTATGGACTTGCAAGGATTGTGCGAACCTCTGCGTCCGAGATACTTGAAACAGGTACTCATGCAGCTAATACCACCCTCCACCATGCTAACTGCCACAAAGGGGAGACTATTCTTGTCTGTGGTACGGGATCAGGTACGTAACTCAGACAACCAACACCCTTCAAAGAAAGCTAAGACATCCAAGTCGCAACAGTTGTGAAGACCACGATCTACATTGTTGACTTTCATCCACCGAAGAAGCTTACACAGCATGCGACCCCTCTCCTTCTCCATTCCACGACTGGAGCCATTGTCAGCCTGTGACAAGCCCGGATCCGTACTTAAGGGCTTTCCGTACCCTGAGGGGGAAAACCCAAGTAAGCCTTAAAGTACGGATTTTGGTTGATCGAGGAAAGAGGGGTCTATTTTCCTTTTCTTTTTCTTTTTCTTCTTTTTGGAAGGGGGGACGAAACAAAGACTTGTATTTTTTAGAACTACCCTTGATCACTGGTGCGCGCGAACGGTTAGCGACCGCCCCGGGAAATCCAAAAAACGGTTAGGAATTACTATGGGCGGAATTTTTTTCTTGTGTATAATGTGCGTGCGACTGTTTTTCAAATTTCTTGCATGCCACGTAAACCCGTTCCCCCGCCATGCATCGCTGCGCCATCTTCCCTTCTTGCTGCACACTCCCCTCTTAAATGCCTCTTCGTGTTCCCAAGAGCGAAGTCCGATCCTCTCCTTACCAATCACGACGAGCGATTGACCGTGTAGTTGGGATGGTCGGATCAATGTGGTGAAAGCGGGAAGCGCACACCACTTGAACGACCACCCCAATCACACGGAACGTTCGACTCGCCTCTTTCCATCCTCCTGGAACCTCAGCCTTTCTTTTGTCCATCTCATCTACACTCCTTGCTACCCACACCTCGCGCTGGCACTTTTCGCGCCATAAAATCTCGCAGTCCCTTCCTCTCCTCCTCTTTGATCGCGACTGCAATGCTGCGCGAGCTATGCGCGAGGTCCGCAATCTCGAACAAGCTTGACGTGCCCAAGGACGGGCGGCGTGACAACGTGGGACAGACTTAGCGATAAACTTGGGGTAAGACAGTCGGAGTGATGGAGCGATGGTGAAGATCGAATGCCGCCAACGATAGGGCCTTGTGGCTATGGTTGGTGGAAGTTCAAATTGATTGGGGGCTGCGCCTGAGGGAGATCGACCGTGTGTGGAATTTTGAATTGTGAGGGACTCACTTTAATCTCCATTGTTGCGTTGTCCAAGTGTGATGCGTGCAATGTCCCGGAGTATGGGTATTCTCTTGTATGCATGTTGTGGTGCGAGAGTCTATGAATGCTGAATGTCTCACTGTCCAAGATAGATGAATGAGTAGCTGTGTGGGCGCTTACATGCGCAACTCTGGGGAACATTGGGTGTCGACCGTCTGCATGGATGCATGAGTGTGTTGGATTTCCCTCCTTCCCCAACCCCTTTGCCGATCCCGGGCCTCATGACACCACGTGTATGCGCGGGGATCGTCACTAAACTCTTTCCCTCCTCTCCCCTCGTGCATGCAAAGGGTTTAGGTCAATTGGGCTGCTGTCGCCCCCACGACTTGCACTCGATAACCCGGGATATCGGTCGCCCGCGCTTCCATGACGTGACTGATATCTCTGCGACTCGATTGTGGTTAGAATAGTCCGAATAACTAAACGACGATCACGGCGCCGGATCTCCGAGCACGCATTCGGATTGACGCACAGAGAGAGAGAGAGAGAGAGAGAGAGAGAGAGAGAGAGAGAGAGAGAGAGAGAGAGAGAGAGAGAGAGAGAGAGAGAGAGAGAGAGAGA